TGCTCTTTCACTACGCCGAAAAATATCTCGTTTGTGCTTTTTTTAATAAAATGTATCCCTCATATACTTCACAAAAAAAATGTTAATTAAATCATGTTTTCATTTCATCGCGCATATATCATCAATTTAAAGTCGGAATTCCTCATTGCATTACCTCAGTCTATTATAACTCTCTTATTCCCAAAACATCTTCAGAGTGGAACCGCCTTCCCGCGCAATCGGTAAACATATATCATCCTTTGACCTATTTAAAAGTGCGCTGACTGCTTACTTATGCTAATATTTTTTTCTGTTTGTTTGCCCTATTTTACGATTTCTAAACTTGTTTACTTTTTCTTTTTAAACACTTTTAGTGCTTGGCTTCTAGTGTTTGTATATTGTTTGTATTTCGTATTCGTCTTGTCCCACTCCCCTCTGTAATGCGTCAGGGCCTTGAGGGTACTGAAATAAATAAATAAATAAGTAAACGCTCTTAGATCTATCAGATGACAAGCTCCTCAAAAAAGCGGCGTTCACAATCGGTTCTTCTCTGTTGCCTGCACGCGAGCAGGCGAGGGCGGATATAAAGTCCTTCGATAAAATTCACGCTTTCAAGTACCGCCAACTACTATTGTGAAAACGCGCAAGGCACGTGCCACGAGCGGGTGCTCAGCCGCCATTCGTTTCCAAGGGCCGCTCGAGACACGGGCCTTGTGAACTGGTGCATTTGACGCTACTTGCAAGACAAACGTCAACACATCGGGAGGCTTCATAGCGGATAGCGTTCCTAGCGCCACCGGCGCCAACGCTTCCATGGACAACCAAGAGCAATTTCTGAACGACGCTGTTTTTGGCGCCGACGTTTGCGCCAACTTTATTTTTGCCATAAAAACCTCGATAAAATTTCATCTCACCGCAGATAAGCTGTACCATAGCCTCCTCTATAGTGACAAAGCCTGGCAGATCGGCACGAGAAGTGGCCGGCGAAATTGAAAAGGTGGAGCGGCAGACAACCGATGAGAGGAGAGCCACGTGACGGGCTCCCCGCTGCGGCGAAACGCCGAAACACATTTCTCCCGAGTGATGGAATGTCCGCTCGTGCTCCTCGCGTTCCACGCGGTACCGCTTCCTTTCTCGTCGGGTTTGAAAACCATGTTTCGGGTCCTCGCCGCTGCAAAAACTGTGCGCTGACGTCCAGGTTCCCGGAGAAATGCACTGTCCTACCAGATCCTGGCGTTCCAAATCTGCGACCGGGCACTCTATGGCTCCGTCGTCGAACTGCCAGGCTTTGTGAGTATAGAAGAGGTTATGTCTGTACTCAACGTTCCGCCAATTACGCAGTTTCTGTCCACTGGGCGGGGGAAGGGGAGGGGGGAGGGGGGGGGAGGTGGCGACGGTGGCCAAGTGGCCCAGCGCACAGCAGCTCGGAGCACGTGGGTCGCAAGCTCGAGCTGCAGAACCCCTGCCCTTCTCTATATGGATGATCGTATACGGCGTGCGGTCCTGTATCACTGGGGACTTTTAGCAAACCGTTAGCACCCTTACAAAAATTATAAATTAGTTTGAATCGAGTTTCTAATGTATCATTATAGAGTAATTAGAAAACTGAAACTTATTGATAATTTTTGTATGAACATGTTCCGCGTATCGCACTACGGGAGCCTTTGAAGCATGCTTCAAAGGCTCCGGTAAGTGCGACGCACGGAACACGGTAAAGGTTTGCTAAAAGTTCCTACTACTGCGTGATGCACGTTAAAGACCCCAGGCTAGGGGTAGTACTGCATAGGCTAAATTTCTCATCTACAGCTGAGACACCAGACGCCCGTGGAGGCTAACTTACGGCAGTATAAACATGCAGTGATGTCACTAGGTTCAGTGGCACCTGTGGCGATAACACGCCGCGAACCCCCACCCCCCCCCCCCGCCGCCCCCCCCCCCCTTTTTAGCGATGCCACTGTAAACATACGCACAACATTATATTTTATTGGGCGGGCAGATAAAGTAGTGAGTGCCCCCCCCCCCCCTTTTTTTATCTCAGTAGTTTCTTGACCGACGGATAGACGGCGTTGACGCACTCGCCGCCATTAGGTTGCTTCAATTTGGTTGGTTTCGGTTTCAGCTTGCACGCGACGGTATTGCTGTTTTATGTAGTTTCTGTTTCACTTTGTGATACAAATGTGTTCCTTGTGGTACACAACCAACGAAACAGTGATACTGAGCCACTTCGAAAACTACGAAGTGGTTTCGAACGTAAATTGCGGCCATTATTATTATTAATATTTCTTACAAACACATAAGATGTTTTGGATTAAGGTCGGCGGCGAAACGACTGAAATGATGTACATGTCATTGGCTACGTCTACTGCAGTACCCGATGACACTAGTTCGCAGAAAAATAAACTAACGAAGAGACATGAATGTGAAGAAGCAGGTCGACAGCTTGATTAGCAACGTGCTGAATCGGGAAGAACAGAGGAACTCGCGAGTTTTCTACTCATTCCTTCTGTTTAGCGGACACCAAACTTGAACTTCGCAGACTAAAAAAAGACAACCTATAATGACGCAGAAAAGTTATAAAAACAAATAATAACGTCTCGGTCTGTTTTATTTAAGAAGTTAAGTATTCGAGAAATATTTCGACAATCCGAATAGTAAATTTCTTCATTTATCAACCCTGTTAAAGTATTCATTAACAACGTTTCATATTATTGGCCCTAGGAAATAAACTATCTTTATACGGTCATTTGCTTACGGCGTACTCAAGATGTGATACAAGCGGCAGGCGCGTCAAATAAAGATCGTGGCCGTCGAGTACCGTGACACTTATCATCACTTGCGAAGGACACGTTCTATATGGTGTGCTTCAAAAGCAAGGCCAAAGCTCGGAGTCATCGCATCCGGCGAAATACTACGTGGCGACCACATGATTTCTCATTTCGCTTCGAGGCGGCAAGCGAAAGAGGGAGAAACCGAAAAAAAAAAAAGTAATTTCATGGTCCCTTTAAAAACAAAAGGGACAAACGGCTCCGTCGAGAACTCTTGACAAGTGGCGCAGAATACGTGGGTGCCCCGACTCACGTTCAGGCGGCTAGCGGCGAGCCTCTGCTTGTGTCCCGCCAGGCAGGGGCATAGGCCAGGCCGGGTCCCGACCTCGACGCGGACGACCACGTGCTTTGCTGGACGACGGAGCGCCGGCAGAGCGGCCGCCGCCCGCACAGACCGAGCCGAGCGCACACACGGTCGACTCTTCGACCCAGCGCGGAACCCAGCCTCCCCTCACCGACCGAGGCGCTCCCGACGGCGGCGCGCCCGGGGCCCGAGCCGGAGCTCCCCAAGTGTCCCGGAAGAACGCTCCCGACGAGGAATTTGGAAGAGAGCACTCCAGTCCGGTATACGTCAGAATCGATAGAGCGTCCAGTTTGCCCGTTTCTCAGCTAGACAAGTGGATCTAACGTGTCAGAGTAATTGACGGCTTGTAATCAGAAATAATCATAATAAATAATCATAATAATAATAATAATAATAATAATAATAATAATAATTTCGAACGACAACACAGTGTGCTGCGAATGGCGGCGGCAGCTGTTGCATATTCGAAAGATGAGCTTAGGAGACTTGCTTTTAGTTGGGCGCAATATTTGCTTTCTAAAGTGCATCGACCGAAGCGCATCAACTGGGAAAGAGCGGCGGCGAGCAAAGACTGGGAGAGGGAGGAAGCGACAGCGCGTCTTACCATAGGTCACGTGGTTGCGCGAGGGGCGACGGCGATGGCGCGCATCCCGCAATCACGGGGGTTTCTGCGCACGAACGTTACCGGATTTAACTGCAAAGGGGCGCTAAAATTGACGCTTAAAAATAATAATCATTATTATTATTATTATTATTTGTGGTTTCTTCGACATATTACGTTCTGTTCTGCTTCACAAAAGGAGACAATACAACACCTTCAAAGAAAAACGGATAAAATACACTAGGCTATTATTCCGTATACAATCAGATATTGTCCATAACACTCAGCGGTTCGTCACCATGTGCTCACGTAGCAATAAGTGTCCATACCAATCCCGCGAAATACAAAGTGCAACAAAATCAATAAAAATAATTCATTCCAATGTATCTTAATTTCGTAACACCTCGAATAGCTTCATTGAGCCGCAACACTCGTATATGTTCCAGGTAACTCCTTCCGTTTTAGCAGAGCGAACGACGACGCGATCTCCCAGCGTTCGCCCTGCCAATGTAGAAACAGGGGAAGGCTTCGCGCGAGGAGCAACAAAACCCACGCGCCCGAACACATTGGCATCGTGTCGATTTTCATTGTTGTTTTTGTGCCCCATACTACGATACTCACGAAAGAAGCGTCAAAAAAAGGTTAAATAAGCGCGGAGGTATAGTAGGCTGACAGTGTTAGTCGCGCGGGACGCTGCCCTCTGCAAATGGCGACCGCGGGACCAACGGGTCAAGGATGCAGGTATACGCTGAGGGGCTCACTGGAAAAGAAGGTCAATGCTCCTTTTTCCAGCCATGCGTCCATGTCCAGGCCTTTCGCCAAGGGCACCCTTCCGGGTGGCACCCGCCCCCTCCTTCCACGTATGCGCCACACGCAGCGAGGGGAATCCTTTCGTCGTAGTTGAGCACACAGCTACCGCGTTGTCAGGCACGTGTGTAGACATAGCTGTGACGTGTTTATTAAAAGAATTTCATGCCGTTCGCCCGATTCGGTTTCTAAAAAAGGGATCTGAATTTTATATTATTTTTCTGTAACGCGTTATTCGTGATCAAAAACACGTTCTTTAATTTCTGTCGCTCGTTGAACTGAGCGGAAATCTTGCTCCGCGACAGACGCTAGCCTGCCTACGAGTCACGATTGTGGCAAGCCGAAAGGTTGAGGCGTAGAGAACGCCATGGACCGTGGTGGGACTTTTCCGAAAGGTGATTGTGGGATGTGTGCCCCAGGAAGCAGTTCGAGTCTCATGCAGTGGCATGCGGGCATGCGAGAGACAGAGAGAGTGTCGGTGTACCAGAGGAGCGGAAGAAGAGGCCCGCTGAGTGTCCAGGATTCCCTCGGAGCCACTTTCCCGGCCGTCGTCTACGGGCCGCCCGTGTGCCCGGCACTCGCTGCTGGAGGCGGCACTCACCTGCAAACGAGCAGATGGGCTCGACTCGGTCTTCGCGCGGATTCAAACTCCATGCATGTCAGGGTGGCCCCGGGAGAAGGAACGACAAAGAGAGAGGCAGAAGAGCGGAGAAAGAAAGCAGAGGGTAGGCGTGTTCCTTTGGTCGCGACCAGTCCAAGTTGCTCGAATGGTCGTAACTTCATTTGTTTTTATGCGATGCGCGACGCCGGTATTTTCCTGCTCATTAAAACCACGATAAGCTAGATACAGACCCTGCAAGTGCTGTTTGGCCCATTGGGACTACCGATGTCCGGGTTGTCTATGCCCCACCCCCTTCCGCCCGAAATGCATGGGACCTTTCTCTCCGGAAATATTTTATTAACTCAACAATTTACCTGCCTTACACAGAGTCAAAAAAAAAAAAAAAGACGAGTTATTTTTTTGCGTGTTGCAGACTGAAAACATAGCCGCGAGACGAGCTTGTTGCTACGGTTCAGCGACTGTGGCCTTACTGTTGGCCCTGCTTCGATGTAACACGGACATTCGAGCAAACACCTCGGGGATGGCAAGGCCGTGGTGCTAGATTTCCTACGTCACGTACTGGAGGCCAGTGCGGGGCGCAAAATGGAAACGAGTGTTACGTCAAATAAAAGTCGTGCTCAATTTATTTTATTCACTTATCAATACTGTCACCCCTATGTACGGCTCTTACAGGAACGCTAAAATATATTTAAAAAGACATCATTGCACACAATATTTCGAAAAAATCGGTTAGCAATACAGAGAAGCAGCATAGAAAGCATAAACATCTCCAACTTTCTTCGACACCAACACTTCGGCGCGTGCACTCAAATGAGAATTTCATCTGAACAAGAACAGACATGGCAATGTTCCCCGGGAATATTTCAGATGACAGTTATGAAATATCAATAAGCGGTACTTACGCTTTTGAACGCGTATAGCTTTTATTCCGCGGCTCTACAATCTTTTTATTATTATTATTGAATCTTCTAGGCTAAATGTACAAACTTATCAATTTGCGCTTATCTAGACAAAACATCCCAATGTTCGCAAGGACTCTAATTGCCTCAGTATTATAGAACGCTGTGTTTAAAGGTACGTCGGACGTATTGTAAGCACCCCAAATTCTGTACAAGAAATTAAAGATCGGAGACACGCGATGTCTGCTCTCCATCAAGGCTGAGCTTCCGAAACGTCGCTTGTTTCCTTTCCCCTTCTCTTAGCACGTCTTATCCACGCTTTTAGTTTTGTGCCCACCTTTACGTGCCGGCAGCACACCACCTTTTTGGTTCTTAGCACTCGGTTTCGTCATCAGTTGGTAGATGGCGGCACACAACGTCACTTGCGCTACCGCGCAGGCACGTTAGGCACAACTAAGGCGTTGAGTGCTCTGTTTCGTCGCCGTTTGTTCCACTCCGTCGTCTGACTCGCAAGCGCACCTCTTTTTCTTCTTTACGTGGTTCAGGCCATTTGTTCAGAGCTTTGCTGTAAGGACTTTGTACACAGTGAAGTTAGAGAGAACGGTGATCACGTACGCGAAAGACAACAGGAACCACGGCACTGCAGAGCATCTGCGATACCGTGTGATATACGGTGGAGAAGACAGCGGGTCTAGGTATTCGAGGGCTCCGCGACCCGTAAAACGTGTACGGGACCGCGCAGTAATGCAAAAGTCGACATCTGGAACTCGAGAAGACAATCCGTGAGGTGGTATGCAGCTAACTTGACGGGGCCACCGAGGACTCGTCGATTCGTAGTGAGAGCAACTGGTTGACCGTGGTGCGCGGTGAGAATTGACGACGAGCGGGCTAATTATCTCCGGGGCTGCTTTTATTTCTTCGGTGGCATTTATCTTATAAATTGCCTATAATAAATTGATATTTCTTGCACGAATTTTGTAATTTCGGAGCATTTCCCGAATGTAAACACCCGCACGCCCCTCCTTGAACATCGCGGGTGTGAAAAGAAAGGAGCGCTAAGAATGGACTAAAAACGGTAAACGGTAGCAATAAGAAATAAAGATGGAATGAAAATTGCCAGTGGGGTCTCAGTAAGGCACGCTATGACCCGCTGTGATACGACACTTCCCCATCCCGGCTACGCCCGACGCATCTCCCGGTTCCGCGCACGTCCGGATATGTCCGACGTACCTTTAGACTCCTCGTTCCGGGTACGTCCGACGTACCTTCAGACACAACGATTATCGATAGCAAATCAGTTAGGATTATAATATTTCCTTGAAATATTTTTATTCCAAGGAATGTCCGAGAAAGTTGGCCATGTTCGTGGCGTATGGTCAACGGCTATGCTGCTCCCCCCTTTATATCTTTCACGAAATCACAAAACATTTGTTATAACGACGGTTTGATTTGACGCTTCGATTTCCAAGGCTAAGTCAAAGTTAGCTTCAATAAGAATGCAATTCAGCATTAATACCGGCGAAGGACATGTCAAGCGCCCATCCCACGCAACGAACTTGCGAGCCCACCGAGGTAACCGAGATACTCCTCCGCGTCAGCTGCTTCTCCGAGCGTACCGGTGCGAAGCGGCAAAGCTTGACGCGAGAGCGATGTTTTGAAAATTCGAGGTTCCGGCAGATTCGGTGGAACGGTCTACTGGTCTCGTACCATAAAAAAAAAAAAAAAGGCTGATCACGTGCTTTTTTTTTTTATTTTTCGCTCTCGATTCTAAAAAACGCTCAACCCCATTTACTGTTTTTTTTTTCCGTGAAAACTTTTATTAGGCCGACCTTCCCTTGGTGTAAATAAAGGCCGACGACCAGTTCGCGCCTTCCACTTTTCCCTCGCTTCCTCCTCTCCATCCTTCTACCGTGTCCACTGTGGCCTGTTTCCTCCTCCCCCTGGTGAGGAGGATGTTCTGCCTTGCAGAATCTCGAGTCTGGTCGTCGGCCTTTAACGGTGTCCTTTTCCAATTATCAGAACGTGTCCTACGGAGTAGCCCCCTAGAAAAACTGGTCCAGGCAAACCTCTCCGCCTCTCCATAATCTCTGTCACTCACACACCACCTGCCTGCATCCGCGCTCTTCAGCTTGCGAAACTGCAATTCATCCTTTGTGTATTTTGACCTGTAGTCGAAAAACGGAAACAGCTTTTACGATGCAGATGCGGCTTAGACCTATCCAACTTTAGAAGAGGTCGCCTTGAAAGTCTCCCGGTACACAAACGTGAGCAAGGACATGTGTGCCTTTGAAGGCGGGTCCTTGGCAGATGCGCCGACTTCGCGGTGCCGAGATAATGGAAAGTTTTGGTAGACCGTTCCCATAACACCGGTAACGATATCCCATACGCCGCCGACGCCCTTACGCATGCGTAGTATCGTTACCGGGGGTATCGGAGGTAAACGATCTACTAAAACTCTCTTATAGAGAGTTTTAGGAATGGTCTACTAATAAGGAACGGTCTAGTCAAAACTCCTTAATAAAGGGTTTTAGTAGACCGTTCCGATACCTCCGTTAACGATCATACCCAACACCCTGCCGAGGCCTTTGCCCCTGTTTCGTATCGGGCATCGTTACTGGTATTATCAAAACGTTCTACTGAAATTCCATCATAGGGAGTTTGAGTGAACCGTGCCGACAACTCCGACAACGATCTCAGATACCCCGCCGACGCCATTACGCATACACCGCATCGTTGTCGGCGTTGTGGGAACGATCTACTAAAAATCCCTAATAACGAAGCGTACAAAAACGAGTACTTGCACTCTTACACGGCTCCCTATGGACGGGAGGTCCAACGTCTTTTTGCCACCAGTATTGAAATCATTTGACAAGAACGCGAAAATTGATCGACGAATATTTCCGTGCCCATTGGCACATCGAAAACTGTCAAAATTGGTTTAGACTTTTACCTTGCGCCTAACGTGAATACTGCAAGTAGATCATGACTAGGGTTCCGGTTTTCAAATGCATCCAAAAAAACTCCCGAAAAAAAAAAAAAAAAATCTCGCGGGTAAAATTTTTTTTAATTCGGGTTTATCCGAAAAACACTAAATTTCAAGACCACAATGGCAAAAAACACACAAAAAACACGGTATTTTACGAATAAGGTGAGAGCACAGGGCTGGTGGTCCCGAGGAGAGAGAGTTTTCTTCGAAATCTTACCACTGGCAAAAGAGAGTTCAGCTCGTCAATATTCGTTCAGAACAATTGGGTCATTGTATTTCTAGACCACGACAAAGGTCATTGTCCCGGTTTCCAAATCGGAGCATACGATACGTGCTTATCAGAGAAAAATATGTTGCGTTTTTATGTCAGTGAAATCTAGGAACCTGCCGATTTCATGGGGGGGGGGGGGGGGGGGGGCAGCAGGAGTTGACCAACGATTACACCCAGGTGTTTAGTTATTTCAAAGGATTCACGTTAATTGAAGCAACGCTTCTTCGCAACAGTTGTCGTGGGACAGTTAATGCTCTGTTACTCTAACGTCGAGCGTGGCAACCGCGGCGTATAGCGCAGCGCACATGGATGTTGACTGGTCGCAGATATTGAGCTCGCCGGCCAATGAAAGGCTCACGTTCTGCGTTACGCTGCGTCCCCTACGCTCAACGTCGGAGTATAAAACGGAGCCTCGAGTAATGAGAAAGGCAAGGGCGCCGATGCTCAGTGCAGCTGCGGACATAACATTGGATACAGATGAGTTCTATATGAATTTAATGTACCTTTGCGTCCGGATCACATAGATTTTTATTTTTGATTCTGAGAAAGTGGAAACGGTAATATTAAACTCCGATTTTCGATGAACTGGAAATCTAAAAAGTGAACCCCGATAAACCCCGAATTTTTGGCGAAAAATAAACTCCAAAACACCCTCCAAAGTTAATGAAAAATAAATCCCGGAAACACGGAATACTAGTCATGACCTATAAAATCTATAATTAAAGACGTTAATTAGCAGATTTGAGTTAATTTGCCAACTTACTGTGCATGTCCAGTGATTCTTCTACAGTCAGAAATTTTTTCAACAGTGGCCGATACCGGC